CTCTGGCAAAAAAAAAAAAGAAAAAATAATAGTAAAATGTTTAACTATAGTGGTATTCACCAAAGTGAGCAAGTTTATGTATTTTCAGTGAGTCATAAATATTTACACTTACATAGTAACTAACAATGAGTGGCTTCCAAATACTATATGCTCGGTGCTAAAATCAAACGAGTAAATTTTCGGCACAGCAATAATACCAGCAAGGGTTTGTTGCTTCACTGAAATGATTTCAAGTTCAGTTTTGCAATTGGGCAAACAGCAAAACCCAGATTGCCATTTAAGTGCAAATAAAATCAAGTTTTTCCTACTTTAAAAAGTGCCAAAGCAGCATAGCGCGCAGCTGCAGTGTGGAGCAACCTTTCCAGCTGCGCATGCGCATATCACAGCTTCCGTATTTGCCGTTGTTGCTGTCTTTAATTATGATTTTTTCTCTCCGTTTCACTTTTGCTGATTCGCTTCGAATTTTATTTCTTTGCCACCATATACATATGTACATATTTAGCCATACAATTTTGCTGTGCTGTTGTTTTGTTGTCGACCTTGTTCCAGTTATCGCACCGAAAATCATCACCATCATAAAAAGCAGCAAGTACACAAAGAGAAGAGGGCAAAGAGCAACAGAATAGGGCGAAATGTTAAAAAATGTACAATAAGCGCTTGTGTGTGTGTGTGTGTGTGTGTGTGTGTGTGTGTGTATGTAACAATGCCAATGAAATCGAAAGTGAATGAAAGATGTTGTAAAGAAGCTGGTGGTCAATGGTGCAGACGGTCAACTGTGGGAGCAGTTTTGCTGGTCTTAACAAAAAATGCACTGACCACCGCAAATTTGCTGTGGTTTGCAATTTACAGCTGAAGCGAAAGCAGTAGCGAAGGTGCAAAAGTGAATTTATCATTCAATGAAATCGACTACAAAGTAAATAAAAACAAGTAATTTTTAGCAAAAAAAAAACCGACTTCAACTCTCCTATAAAAAAAAAGAAGATATATGTATATATCTCATGATCCACTGATCGGATCTTAACCAAATTAGTGTGGGACCACCTCTGAGATACTTCCTTTCCGATGCAAAAAGAATTATCGAAATCGGTTGACGTGGTCCAAATTTATGCGGTAACATACATAAAAAAAAAACATATATTCCGACGAACTGATAACTGATAACTGCTTTTTTGGAAGTCGGTTAAAAAAAACAACAAAGTGACAAAGTAAAGTGAGGGAAAAATTAAAATGGATGAAGTCTTTTGTTTTGTGCCACAATCTACAACTATTTAGCACTCAACTAGCGATTGACGTGAAGAAGCGAAACGAAGCCACTGATACACATTTTTAAGTAAGTTTTATTAAAAAAAAAAACAACAACAATAAAGTTGAATTTGTGTTAAGGCAAATTCGGCAGTACTCATGATTGCACTCAGTCGATACTTGCTGTTCGATTAATTTACTCACAACTCAGATAATCCACTCAGGCGCTCCCGAGCGTAAACTGTAACTAAGAGTGCGGTTTGTGCGTATGCATAGTGGGCTTCATTGCGTGTTCTCTATGCACTTATAATCATTATGTGGTTTTTCGTTGAGCAATTTGCGTTAAGCAATATTATGGTACGTACCATGCAGTAAAATTTAGAGACAATCTGACAAAGCGCTAGTTCCGAACTACATATCTCAGTACGATCTGTGAACTAGTGCAAAAGGAATGCAGGGCGGGACAGTTGAAACTTGCGGTGGAAATGTGCACATGCTCACTACTCGTACAATACGAAAGTAGCTCAGCGAGAAGACCTCCGACTTAGCCATCGTTGTTCGCGAGTTTAAATCACGCTGGAGGCAGTTGTGAGTTTTCAAATTTAATGAGAATATAAGTTGTTGCGTGCAGCTCATAATATTTATTATTATTTTTTTTTTAATAAAATATGTAACAAAAACGGAATCTGTAAAAGAAAAGAAAAAACGAAAAAAATGTCCAAAAATCGAATCGAAAAATAGTTTTCTTAGAATAAAAAAAATGTCCAAAATGGAACCGGTTAAAAACTGGTTGCAAAGTTATTCACTGGGCGACAATTGCCACCGCCAATGACATCGCCGTGTAAAACTGGACAGTTGAAAGCATTGCTTGGGTGTTGAGCTAAAACTGCTACTGTTGGCAAAAGGTCTAGTTCTACGCTAGTTCTATGCTAGTCAGATTTTCTGCAGGGTATTTACATACACACACACATTCATATGCACAAAAGTTCACATACATATCTGTACATATCTGTACTTTGTTATTTGTTTACTTTAAACTCAACTTGTCATATCGCTGTTTTGTACTATTGTTTTTGTGTTAGTTAAAATCGATTTAAACAGAAAGACAATGTGGAAATCAGACACTAATGGTCTATTGACACATTGTCATCAGGGCAAAGATTTCCTTACATTTTTTGCCGTTGTTGAGACATTGCCCTTATACGTATTAAGCACGGATCACACGATTTGTACTTTTGTACGTTATCACAGCTACCTCATTCTATTCAACATACCCAGAGCTGGACAGTCGCTCAGTTTGATGATAACTAAAATCAGGTTTAGTACCTCTTACAGATCCTGCAGGATTGTGTTTTTTCCACCTGCGGTCAGCCACATTTTGCCAGTTCTGAGAGATGTGGCCCTTGATATAGCAGGGAGAGTTAAAATATCCTCTTCTGACACTGAGATAATCACAGCCGACCCGTTTCTGCGTAGCTCGATGACGATTTCTTTGATATGAATGCTGCTGTGCCCCGGCACCCAAATCAGTGCAACGGCATGCTCGAGGTAATACCTACAGATCCAAGTAACTTAATCGGCGCACAATGCTGGTCCCTGGTAGATCCTAGGTTATAATTGCTTTGCACCTACCACGGCCAGGGTTTATTCTCTCTTTTTCATTTTCAGCGCTAGTTTAATCGCTTCTTTATCCTTTTATAATTTGGAAAATGTTGCTGATGTTTAGGCTGATGATGTCAACATCATTAATTCCACAGTGCCACTTTGAGAAGAGATATCTCCATATCTGAAGTGTAATCTGAACGTTTGTTACCAGATTGCCAGTTTCGCGGCTGCAGGAATTAGCTGCCCTACCTGCCAGCCCTTCAAACTCTTCTCACTTACGTCTCTCTGTTTCCTTTCTTAAGTCAATTCTTTACGAACTAGAGCTTGGCTCTGAAGCTTATATATTCGTTTGCAAAGAATAACGTCAATTTTCCCTCTCACCTGGAGAGATATGTCTCATAAGCAGAAGTGTTTGCAATAACCAGAGCTATGAGCCATTTATACCAGGCAGAACAGAATGATGAGAGAGGAAGTTTGCAGTGAATGCCAAACTAAACTGAAGACTAAATGGAGTTCAGGCGTTCCTGTGACGTACGGGTCTCAACACGGGCCAGCAAAGCTTGGAGAATCGATGTGGAACAGTCACCGTGTTTTTTATGGTTTATAGCAACTGTGATCTGGTAGGTAAGTACTAGAACGGGGTACTTGTGGTTAATGAACTTAAGAACAAATTGAAAAATATCTCCTCGGAAAAAGAACATCGTACATCATACTTTAAAACCCGACAGTAAATGCCGAAGATGTCACAACAAATGTAAAAATAGGTTTGTATAGTTACCAATAGTCAGTACTAATTTGTACTGGAACCTGCAAACTTTTACTGGAAAAGTGTATGATAACCCAAAAAATTTGCAAGAGAGCACTGAATCGAGAGCGTAACAACACGAGAGAGTTGCAAATTCTTGCTAGTGAAATTTTTACTAGCAGAAATTAGCTAGCAGAAGAAGAAGAAGAATAAATGTCAAAAGAATATATAAAAAGTGGTGTTACTAGCTCAGTTGATTTTGTGTATGTGTTTCGCCGCACGGCTTCTGATATCAAATTGAAAAATTTTGTTTGAATTTCTACTCACACTTACAGGTTTTGACAGTTTATGCCGCCAAAGCAAAAACAAAATACATGTAAATTTTTGTTTTTGTACTCCTGCTATCACCTTATATTGATTCGCCTTGGCACAAACAAAAGTAAAATGAGTGGAAATCATAATATTAATGATGTACTGGACAGTGTAAGTGCTTGTGTGTAAAGCAAAGAGTTTAAAACTGATTTATAAATAGTAAAATGTTTACAGCAGATTGTCAAAGCAGTGCAACAACAGTTCTCTTGCAAGTTTTTGCTAGTTTCGTGTTCAATAACCTCTTCTGCTAGTTTTCTCTTCTTCTCAATTTTACGCTCTATTTTGCTTTTACGCTCTCGCTGCAATGTTTTACTGGAGAAGTTACTATACAAACCTAATGCTACCACCCGTTCGACAAAAAAAAATTATATATATACACCGAGTTTTTTTTTCTGGTACGGTCTAATGTATGCTTACGTGAGACCAACACTTTTGCATATATCACAAACAAAAAATCAAACTAGATCAACATAAAATTTACTATTAAAAAAAATATCAACTACAATGACTAAGCAATTTTCTAGTTATAAAATCAAATGCATTCCTTTTGTTGCGCATAGTTTCTTTCTTTGTGTATAATTATTGTTGTTGAAATCGCAATATTTCCATGAAATAGTTACATGCCGTACTGGCTACAAAATACTCACAAAATAAAACAGAAGAAACGGACAGTCAAAAATTACTCATACGCCCGCTGGTACCAGCTGATTTTAACTAGTTAGTATACACAGAGTGGTTAAAATACTAGTTATTTACATGCATGTATATATGTTATATGTATGTATGCATGTACGATAGCATCGAACATATGAATGTAGTATGAATTTGCCTTTGTCGGCTTGTGTCTGCTAATTTTTGCAATCAAAACGCATGCATTAAAAGGCAACAATAACAAGTAAGAAAGTCTAAGTTCGGGCAGAGCCGAACATTAAATAC